GGAAACTTTGCGGGATAGTCTAAACGATTCGCTGCAGGCGTTTCAAACTCTTTGGTTCTTCGCCGAATTGCGTGGAGATGTGATGGAAAGCATCTCGTAGGCTCCCGCGCGTTCTGGATGTCCTTGTCTGTGAGATAATTTCGGACCGTGTGATCGCGCTGACAGATGCTGTGCACATCAAGAGGAAGATGCAGACGGGAAGCGAAACCAAGAAGTAACTTGGAGCAGACTGCTGAGAAAATACCGGAGGAGTTGAGAAAAATTCGGAACTGAGGACTTTCGTGACTTGGTCGACGTTGCTATCATTCTTTCTCTGGACAAGAATCTATATCATGAGCGGCTGCCTGTTTCGACACACGTAGTTCTGGACCGACTCCACGGAGCAGAATCCCTGTTGGTCCCTCACCTGTCCTACCGCATTCATAAGAGCCGTCCTGAGCCAGACGAATCCTTTGTGGTCCATTAGCCACCCCCCCATCTTCATCTTTTGACCACAGTGCTATTATTTTTGTAAGTTGTCCATTGGTGTGCCTTGGTACAGCTCGCAAGAGCCGAACGTGCTTACTGGGGTCGCATAGACATTTTTCAAGGTCACAGTATCTGCGTTTTTATTTGGTAGACTAACATCATCAGCTGTAATCAGCCGATCCTGATTTTTCTACCCTGTGAACGAAGCAGCAAAGATTTTGAAGAGGCTGAGGGAAGGAACGGTTGCCAACAGGCAGCGTGTCTACACCGAGCACTCGCACGGGATGGCCTGTAGTAATCTAAATTGGGGTGGGGGTGGCCTCATGTGTGGTTGTCGATGTTCACACGCCATCTACGACGTCCCGCGGGAAATCAGTGAGGGGGCCCCGTTCGAACGCGATCTGGTGTCTGCTTTCAACTCAGAAGCGACTGCTTTGCTCTTTTCACGTCTGGAAAATGAATGTTCTAGAATGCAGATAAATGTCTGACATGATTAATAGCCCTCAGAAGCTCTTTGGCACGCTTCCATTCGCTTGCAGTCGAACTAAAACATCTACATCGTCCCACGGCCTCTTCTGATCAAGTCCAGGCCAAATAGTGCCTTAAAATCCAGGACCCCCGGTACCCATTGTAGAGGAGGCTGGGTGGGCCCCAGAGCCGGGTTTGGACGGAGAGGCTAGAGGGAAAAAAAAAAAAATCCTCTGCCCCCGTCGGGAATCGAACCCCGGTCGTCCAGTCCAAATTGAGAGGGTAGATTGTGTTAGTGGTAGAATGTCACGTGTAATGTTAGGAGCCCGTTGGTTTGATGCCATTTCTTGAAAGCGCGCGCAGACGCCGAGGGCAAACGTGATGGTTCGAAGGTAAGATTTTATGAGAGACATGAAAATTTGTTTAGACAAGGAAGACATTTTGAAACCGGTAGTTTCGGACGATACTTTGCACGATCTCCATGGAGACGTGGATTCCAGCAATTTGAATTCTGCTCATTGCGGTCGTATAACCTCACGCCTCGTGGTCATTTGGATTGTACCAGTTGGTTCCAGATTACGGAGCTTCCTGGACGGGATTTGACTGAACGGTCTGTGTGGACACCTTTAGACTAAACCCACTCACGTTTCGCGATAACACGACCTCGCGTAGAAATATTACTAGCATTCAGAGTACGGAAACAGTGCATTGAAACTAAATCGCGCGTTTAAAGAACGAAGCAAAACATATTTTTACGCGTTGAAACTCGACGGTAATCTCCAAACACAGCAAAATTTCGCAGCTCTCGTGAGTCTCATCGCAAATCTTGTGTTTTCCCGCTCATCAGGGCGAGACGCCAGCTCTTAAGTGAGCGGTTCTACACCGCCGGTGGAGATTCCATGCGCTGACAGTTACTATTACAGCACAGAATTATGTAGTTTTTAAACAAATCTAAAAATTACATTTTAGAGTCGTTGATGTAATGTGGAATAGAACGGAGTGTCTGATTAAGTAACGGATTCCTCCACAAAAATCAAAATTCCGATTTACTGGCCGTCAAAGCAGGTAATACACACACTAAACCAAATACACTTTGTGTCAGGGGTTTTAAGTGGTCCTGCAAATTATCGAAGCAAATTTGATTTTTAAATTCTTCGTGTATTTGTTATTTCATCCACGTCACAAGACCCTAGCGACTGCGCCGAGCAGGACCCAAGGACCAAAGATGAAGAAACGTTCATTGCTCGTTCTTCCATCTGGCGACCATGAAGTAAGTTGTAAACCCTCGGCTCGCGATATGAGTCGAGACGAAAATTGCTTAGCTACTAAACTCAACAGCAGTCAGGTATGTGAGATTGATTGAACATCTGCGAGCGGCAATGTGGATGAACACGTGAATTGTGTTTCTGACGTTCCGAAGTCCCGAGACCGACCGGACTGAAGGCAAAGTCGTCAGTCTACTTTTTCCGTAGCTAATAAGAATTTACAGTGAACCCTTCGACTAATCGAATGGTCTGTGTCGCACTCGCATGGTCGCTCGGGCGAAGTCAGATCAAGAGGCAATCCGCCAAACGTCTTTATTTTCGTTAATATGCAGGGCCCTACCAGTGCAAGACAAGGTTTGAAGCTCGGTTATTCTGGGGTGGTACATTGTGATGCGTAGCCTAAATATACCTCGATTACTTGTGGATTTTTACTAATATCCTCCTCAGTTTTATCGTAAGCATCGTATGTCTGTTAGGGCGTAGACGTCTGTGGAGCCAACTTGAAAAAAATAAAGTATCTGATTAATTTCTTTGGATACGTACGCAGGTCCTCATATAACTTGTGAAATTTGGCTTTCAAGAATCTTTGACTTAAAAGAGGAGGGAACCAAAATTTATTTCTAGCAAAAAGTGCGCACTCCAATTATCTCCATAAAATCCAGCAACCGTCTGCGTGTATTTAAACGTCCGTGTGCACAGGCAACGAGAATACGCGATTCCGGTAGTTTTACCGTTGCGGCCGAGAAACCGCTCGTGCGCGCTCGGCAAGTTGGAGTCCATATTGTCCAGTTATGACCAAAATGTAATTTTCACAGAATATCTGCGTACGCTGTAGATTTCAGTCGTAATGTGATTATTTCATATGTGAAGCTTTTGGGAAGGGGGCCCCCCCCCCAATCACATCTCATGCTGCTGCTGTTCGTACATGTCCGTATTAATATGGATTTCGTCTTCAGCACAAAACCAACATGGCGGCACGGCGACTTTTCAAATAGAAACAATGTTGCTGTCATTTGATTATGTATCGGGAAGTTTGATATTATGGCAGGTCCTTGAAAATGTAAAGCTGTCATCATGTGAAGTGAAATTGCGTCTCTGTATTGTTTCGCCCTCTCACGAAACAGAACCAAGTTTGTTCCAAATTCAGCGCCTGATTTGTTTCTACTCGTGGATGACGGCAAATCAATCAATCACGCGTCTTCATTCGCTGTTATTTTCAAATTTTGTATTGATAATCGTAGGCGCGTGTAAGACCGACAGCTTTAGAAGGCGACAGAGCCCAGAGACGAGACATTTAATTAGTTGCAGCAGCTGGTACGGCGTCTTGCGAATTGTTGACCTCTGTTATGTGACCTCCGTAGACGCTAATTACTGACGGCATTGGTCGTTAAACTGAACGAAAACGTCAAAGTAAGGACAGCTCGGCGCAGTGTCATCTGCGCAGTCACGTGATGTCCGGACGGCCTCGTGATTTCTCTCAGTCATTGATGATTTATAGACGCGATCACGTGGATAAATGTTTAGTCGGTGATGATAGTTGTGAATTAATCGAAACTGAGCTGACCTTTCGTAGCCCAAATTTACACCTATTTTCTGTGATGAAGCAAAAGACCTCTCACGCAGTGATACAGCGTTTTGCAATACTGAACGATGGACTGGGCATGCAGAAAGCTGCATCAGAGCGGGAGCATCTTGTAAAGAGACCATTGAGAAGACCAAGACGAGATGGAAGAGTGGTTTATTTTATTTTTTGTTCATTTCAACGTATGGGGCGTCAGATTTACGCCTCCATTTCCGTCTGGGCTGCTGGTCGTCGCTAACGTAGCCTCAGGAGCTTCGTGTGTCAAGTGACCTCGCGGTCCCCAGTATCACGCACCGCGTCTTGTCTGTTAAGACCGACGCGTAATTCTACAACATTCATACCGCCAGTTGGCAAGCTGTTATCTAATTATTTGTTGTGAGGAGAAAACGCCTGTCATTTTGGGGTACTCGATTACTTTGTCTTTCTCAGTTCCTCCAAAATAACGCGTGATCTTGCAGGAATCGAGCCACGACCCTGCTTAATTCATCCTCGCACTTCTCATTCTCGCCACACTGTCGACAAAAGACGTGCAGTTCTTTTACTGTTGTGAGCCGCCATTCGGTTGTCCAGTCTGGTTCCAGAATCTCTTCTGTCATCTGCAGCGGCCCGTTTCCACGAGGTTGTCCAATCCAAGAAATGAACGAGTACAGTACTGAGAAAGAGAAGTTGATATTGTGAACCGTCTTGTGTGGTCTCCACGCTCTGATGGTTCATCCGCGTTTTATCCATCCTCTGCATTCTCTCTGAGGTTCACATCGACACAAAACAAAGAGAAGAAAGTTAGCAGTGTTTATTTTTTTTTTGTTATTTTTGAAAAGGAGACGAGATAAGGAATTCTTTGTTTGAAAAGGAGACGAGATAAGGAATTCCCTCCTCAGTATTTTTGCTTAAGAGAAAATTTCCTCCCTGAAGGAAGTGTCTGTCTATTTGATGTAATGAACGACACTTGGTAAAAGATGCTCAGGATATGAACAATAAGATGAACACGTAAGTGGAACATATTCTAACAGCGGGGATCGAAGTCGACGGTGATGATGTCCTCTCTGGCAGCAGTCGAAAGCTGGGGTTCTGAGGCGGGGGACTCGACAATCCCTTCGTCATTTTGAGTCTTTCCTTCCGAGGAAAAAATTACGTCGCGCACGCCGACAATTTAATGATTCTGTTCGTCGAATGGCTTCTCGCTTGTCATTTCAATGTCGTCGTCCTCTTTGGTGCAGGTGAAGAGGGCGTGCGGGCAGGCACGCTGGGCCGACGAGGACGAGCACGACGCCGATACGCCTTCTGGCCGTCACCACGTGACCAGCGACGGCGTCACTGACGGGCGAATATCTTCAGGTGAGTCACAGAGTTATTTGTTTCAACGGCGTATGTGCCACCCGACTGCGTGCGATGCTGAGGTCGCTACCCACGTGCGACGTAACAGCTTTTTTTGTTTTTTGCTCGTGTCGGCAGGTCCAGGCCTCGGGGCGAAGGACAGCTTGGCCACACAGCTGCACCACTTCTTGGCCAGCCTCACCAAGAGTCGCGGTTTCTACGCCAACCTGGCGGAGTCGCTCTGTTCTGACGAGAGTTTCGCCGAGACGAGGGACACGGCCGACTGCTGGAACGGACAACGCATCGGCGAGTGAGTACAGAAGACAGCCCAGTAGTCTGTTTGTACGACGAACACGCGTACCCCTCCCCTCCGCCTCCATAACCTTCTTAACTTTTTTTCGTCAGTGTTGGTCCCTAAAATAATTCTATGCGATGATGTGTTTGCCAGGGGTTGTCGTTTGTGTCTAAATCGGTGTCCTCATGAAAAGGGTGATCATTCAGAGGTAGCCCCGTAAGCGTACTTCCCTGCAATACTGTGTTAAGTGCGACCGCGTGTCCACAGCGGCTCGAAACTGTGGCTTCATACGTGAACACATTCGACGTGGCTGATCTTTGCTACCGGAAGTGCATACATTCTTAATCTGTCTGGTCCCATCCTGTAAACTGAAGCATTTAGAGGCCAGAGATTTCCATAAAATATTTGACCTGCGAAGAAGTTCTTACGGACGCACTCGAAGACCAACGTCCTAGCATTTTTGTGTGTTGTGATTTCAGATTTTTGTTTTCCTATACGACGTTTCGATTTGTGCGATGAATGCTCCTTTCGGGCGCTGTAACCTGAAATTCCAGTAAATTACTTGTAGATGCGGTTCAGAATTTACGTCTGAAACCGTGAATACTTGTACATGTTTGGTACTGCTGTCTACCAGCACAATACAGAACGGCGTTGACACACATACATGCCTCTAGCGGGACTCGAACCCGCGACTCCAGCGTGCGAGCGGTCGTCGAAGACTGTCCCCCACCTTCGTCACTATATCGGCTTCATTCTGCTTCATTCATAAGCGTTAGGCTGCTTCGGGGAATTGATTCTGCGTGAAACGGGAAATTTCTTTCGCCCGCTGTCAGAGCGTGGGCCCGCCCTCTTAAAACACACGTCAAGGAGTGAGAGGCTGACTTCGTCCGTCGGCCTCACGTTCGATGCCTAGCAGTTTATGCATTTGGTGTAACCTCGTAAGGTAAACCAAGTAGAAGATTACGAAAGTGAGAATACATTTTCGTTCCATCTAGTAAAATTGTGACTAGAATAAACTGACAGGCCTGAGTCCTGCTTGGATGTAATGTAAGTAAGACGTAGCTCAGGACAAGAGAATGCTCTGGCCACGCGTTCTGAAACATCGCGGCGGGCTAAGTGTTTCAGTATCCGTCTCGACGTCTGTTTGCTGATGCAAAACATATTTTCGTGTTTCTCTGCATGAGAAGCGAAAGGCCGAGACGTCTCCAGTGTGTTTCTACGTGCATGTTTGTTACCTCTGGGAGAAGCGCGGGAACGTACTCGATTCTCTTGTGCGCAGTTTTCAGAATACAAATGCGCCTTCCTGAAGAGACGTCAAGAAACGCGGATATGAAATATGGTCTCTGAGAAGAGCACGAGTAACGGGAACTAGGACAAGTTGTTGGAGCTGAAGGTGCCTCGGGGTGTCGTCGGCGATACTGCAGTGGCACGTGAAGAAGGAGTTGGCTGCTATCTACGCGCGCCGTCACGAATCACACTCCATACGTAACGCGAAATTGTTGAATTGTTTAAATTGCTGTTTGAAATGAAGGGATCATGCTTCGAGAGATGGGAGACAGTCGTGGCCGACTTTAAGGTGCTATACCCAGCTTAGACTGGAGAAAATTCGAGAACGTCACAGGCAAGACAGCCGGTTCTCTGCAGAACTGGAGTTACCGCTCTGCTAACTTGCTCTCTGCGTTTGCCCCAAAAGTGTGTTGGCCGTTCGAGGCAGCGGTTAAATTATGTAATAAAGACTTCGTCACGACAGATGACACATTGCGAGGTTTTAATTTTAATTCGTGTAGTCTACAATTGAATCTACCGAAAACTGAATTGCCTTCTCGCTGAAATATGGCTTGTCATCTGTCTGTGGACCACGAATGGCGTGAGGGACATCAGTTACTCTCACGTTGGATAATTAGTCCTCATCTGTGAACGTCGCGTTGCTATGGTTACAGGATGAGCACAGCCAACTTTATTCATGACGTCAGCAAACTAGTACTTCACTACAGTAGTAATTCAGAACGGGCGGGCATTTTGGGCTGAGTTATCCTCTCGAGTGGGTTCATTTAGTATGTGGATTTAAAACTTTAGCCCCTCGTAGGCAGAAACTGACTTCAACTCGCTCACCGCCTTCCGAAGCTGTGGGACGGGAAGTGACGTTAGAAAATGAAATAACGCTGAAGTAGAGTTTGGCACTGACGGCCGATGTTTGCTGGAGCATTCGCTGAGAAACGTCTTCAACAGACGCACTTCGTCTGCGTCCGAAGTTGTTCGTTCGTAGAACTTTTGAGTTAAGGTTCAGGAAACTCGCAACTTCTGTGTGACTGGGACGCCTGCACCGGTAAGACCCTTAGCCGGGTTTTGAACTGAGGTCCCTTATGGTTCAGCTGTTGCACAAGACTGCCCTTTTGAAGCCTTCGGGAAACGGCATTGGACATCTACCTCAGGAACTGGGGTGATCCGATGTCAGAGTATGTCGCCGAAGGCGTCTTTTCAGTCTTGAGACTCAGCGTCAATCTCTCTCGATGCAGATCAGACTACAGGGCCTAATTTATGCAGACGCCGTGTTGTTGTGGCCATACGAGGAGTTAACTAGTATTTCTGCGCGCTGGGGTCAATTACGTCCAGTGCGTGTGTGTATTTGTGTAATCCCATTTACTTCAAATCGTCCGGCTACAAGTGTACTTAAGTGGGAGTTCATTAATAACCACTGCACCGTAATGTATTCGTGGTAAACATTTATACCGTTAAAATTTAGAGCAAGGTTACATGTGTAAATGGGTTGAAATAGCAGTCAGAAAATCGATGTCAGCTCATGAATCCGAAGTTCCTGTTTAATTTTCACAGTTGCAACCAGGTTTACCAACATTCAGTTGTTGTTATGCGGTTCGAAAGACCTGTTTTATCCCCCACCAAGTTCTCAAAATACTCATCATCGAAGACGCCGAGACATGGAGGACCTTTCTGCCTCCATTTGCACGGACGAAGTGTGTGGTTGTTGATCATTTTGACACCAGAGGACTTCGTACTCGGCAAAGGCCGTCTTGAGAATCCACCCTCACCTTTAATGTCGGTCATGTCTTCCGCGTTCGGCGATGCCCTCATGGTTGAAGGCGTTCCCGTGCCACGGCCGAATCGATTTTTTTTTGTCCTTTTAAGAAATGTCGCAGTGACGAGTGTGGAATTTTATCGAATTGCAGGCATCAATAATTGTTCGAATAATGGTCTCGTGACTTTTTGATCAGCCTGTATTATGTGTAACGAACATTTATATAATACGCCGAGATTTTATGTTTGTTTCGGTCAATACAGGTGTGTTGCGAGAGGCGATAAGTACATATCCGAACCGGTTGACCTCCGGAAGAACAATTAACAGCCAGATGGGATAATCGGATTCCATTGCAGTGGGCGCCGTCCATTTGACGTTGCGTCAGAAGACAAGGCCAATGCCGGCTCTTGGTCCCTCATTCAGTCTCTGATCCGAGCGAACCTAATCACGTGATTTATCGATAACTCTGCACGATGAAGTCCGATTAAGTCCTCTAATTGGGGAGCGTCGGCGTCCTCTGACAGAACGAACCGACGCCACTTTGGCGCTGCTGTGAGGAGGAGCGAGGCGCGGAGGAATGGGGCCTGGAGGACAGTTAACTTCAGATTCTGTCTTGTGTAGAATATATTTCTTTCAGGCAAAAGGCCCATTTTAATTTTTCAACCAGTGGATTGATTGTGACAAAATTTGGTGTGGACGTAATGACACCTCGCTCCTCTGCAGCCGGTAATAACAAAATGGCGGACGCATAAACTTGAAAACTGGGGCGTGTTCTTCGGAGAACAAATGAATTCGAGAGTGTTTCGTGGGTCATGTTGAGAATCGTTGTGTGGCACAGACATCGCACGAGCCAACGTTTTGTTTAGACTGGAAGATTTATCGAGAGTGGCATTTATTCCCTGGCGAGGAATCGATTGCAGTTCGAACGGTAAGTGATACCAAGTGCAGGTTGAGGAGAGGCCCTAGGTTAGACAAACACTCTGAAGAGACGCTAGCCGAATGGAGCCAGAGAGACAGAGAGCGAATTCAGTGGCTTTGTGTTTAATTTTTGCTAATTCCTTGGAATATTATTCTTGTTGGGAGCTGAGAATATTTTTAAAAATCATTGACTATGTTGAATAAGGGAGTTTTCGAGGAAGGGGGCCAGAGTGTAACTTCGGTTTTCGGGTGAGCGCGACGAACTATGTTGAATAAGGGAGTTTTCGAGGCAGGGGGCCAGTGTGTAACTTCGTTTTTCGGGTGATCGCGACGTCGACGTTTCGGGAAACAGTTAAGTTGCCATCTTCAAGTTTGGATATGATGTCGGGGCCAACCAACCACCCTAACCAACAAACTAAGGCTTGAGTTCTGCCCAAGCGGAAGACATTTTCTGCGTACGAAGTGCACTGCTTAAAATGGCAAGAATTTCCTCAGAACTAAGGCAGGGATGTGCTTACGTTGGCAGGATTGACTTTCTGATATTAGTGGGAGATTATCCCATCAGGCGACTTTTCCTTTGTGAGGAGGATTTTGGTTGGATGTCTCTCTGGGATTTGAACTCAGAAGTGGTCGTATCGCTTTGGCTGATGGTCTCCATGATTGGGCAGGGCCTATGCCTTGCAACTGAGGAAAAATACGGGAAACATAAGTAAGGGTAGCCGAGTAGTTTCAGGCTGCTCGTTGCGATGAATTGGCTATAACTTTATTGACAGGCTCAGTTCACTTCGATTACCCACGGTTGACGTCAGTTACCCCTTGACGGCACTCCCGAGTTTCTGAAATAAGCGGTTTCCCGCGTCACCTGACTTTGAGTCTCGAAGCTCACAGTCAGTGCTCTGATGCGGTCGGCGTAGAGTGGAAGCCCCCAGATCCTTGCGAATTTTCCTGTCCTGTAGAGCAGCACACCCGTTTCTGGAGGACGGGCCCCTTCTCCTGTTGAAGAGAAGGCGGGTAATGTCTGCTGTTATGGTGTATGTAACATTTGTACTGTAGTTGGTTAAAC